AAATGTATATCTTATAATAATGTATGGACCCGTACACCGTACACGTTGCTATTGCTGTAGCAGTTCGTTGTTACTTTACTCATATATTGGTTTAGAAAAAAATCTCTCTCATTATTTAAAAATTACAAGAAACCTTTAATTAATTTCTAAACTTAAAGTAGGTATATGATGGAAAGTTCATAAATTGAATAACTTTTTCGTTCTACCTTTTCGAATGCCCGAGTTCAAGTAGGTACTTTCAGCAAACGAAACCGAATTTCACTTTATTGCGGCCAGCCTGTGATAAGTTGTGCTGACGTTGTTTTTTGTTTTCTGGTTAAAGTATAATTAGTAAAAGACGACAACATTTTATCTCACAAGCTCTATGTAAGGTTTGAACCGTTTGCGAAATTTTTTTAATTCACACATACACTGTTAAATTAGGTATACCTACCTTTTTATATTATTGTAATAATTATTATTAATAGCCCATAATTTTTTTACACATTACACTATTTAATCAAAAAATATTAATCTTTGATTTCATGACCGACTGTTTATCTCAGCCACACACCCACAAAATATTATATTATTACACTAATATTATTTTAAATAATTTTAACTTGAGCAAAATTGTTTACAAATGTCATGGATAAACATTATTTTTATATTTAAACTTTAAACCATATACACTTATACCTAGTATTATAATTTGGTACAAAACGTAAACATCAGATTTTTTTTCAATAACATTTTGAAACATTCTTTTATTTAAACCAAATGTTATTAACGTGTTTTAAATAAATTCAAAAGGTCGCTGAACTTTATATAATGATTTTCTATTYGTTCAGTATTCATAAAATCATATCAATGAAACAAATGATTTTGGTCCTCGAAATATAATGTAACAATGAAAAATATTACATAACACATTTGATATACAATAAATAAGTAATGATCTTACTTATATTCAGAGTTATTCACCAACCATGCTCACCCTCCATTTTTCCTTAAATAACTTATTCATTAAAATTCTGATTTTTAGAATTTCAAAATATTCTCGAAGCCCATTTTCCAAATTCTTGAATTTGTTGTCCTGCGAGGACATTAACTTTTGTTTTTCAATTATGACCCCCCCCCCTTTTTTTGCATTACATTATTTTGTGGATAAATTTTTTTTTTTTAATTTGTGGTATTCTTTATGTAAATTTGAACTTGTTGAACTTAGTTAATCAAAATATTTTTACTAAGTATAATATTGTCTTTAAAGTGGTTTTAGAAAAATATAAAATATATGTAATGTTTCAGGATCTAAGTATTTAATATACTTTGACCATTTTTTACAAATTACCACTAAAATGTTAAAACTACCATAGTCTCCATATCTTCTACTCCTATTATCCTTAGTATACAAGTAGATCGTCCATTGCTTGTAACACTACCTTAAATCTATTAATGTATCACTAATTTGTTAACCTAGTTATTTACTACATATTATGTTGATATTGTTTTTATAAATAGCTAAAAATTTCGTACATTATACCTAAGATTAGATGACTTTGTCAGGAAAACTTTATAAATAGTAAATAAAAAATATAAGTATACAAGTTAAATTTCTCAACATTAAAAACTCGTTCAAATTTTTATTCAAAACTGTAAAAATTATATTTGAAGTAAGTGAATCAAAATGTTCAGAAAAATAAAATTATAAGCTATTAGTGAGAGGTTCTCATTTTAAAAGCAGAATTTTGTATCTCTACATGACACTTCTTAAGTAGGTAATACAAAAAAATCCAAAGAATTTGAAAAAATAGTCTTTGAGTGTAAATAAAATTCTAAAAATCAGATTTTGAATAACTGCGTCATTGAATTAAAAAAGGGCTAGGTTAAATACTTAGTAAATTACTCTGTAAATTATTCTAAGCTTGAATSTCGTTGACGTTGACACCGCATCAATCTTARCTGTCTGAAAATATTGGTTTGCAATCTCCGTTAGGCAGCATAACGTATCCCTTGGGACACAGATTACGGCTTGGGCCATCGTTTCTTATGGGTTTAACGATAAATCTATTGATCAAAGATCCATTTTCATCCGTCTGGTTTTCAGTTGTCGTTTCTATGTTACCGATTGTGGCAACCGTTACCTCAATTGATGTCATCGCGGTGGCCGTTTCCTTCGTAGGCGTCGTGGTGGTGTTTATGTATGTAGACGTTACYGTAGTGGTATTGACGGTAGTTACGGCCGTGGACTTTTGTGGGGCCTCAATATGAGAGTCGGGGAAATATATTCTATTAGACGACAATTTTGTACTGGGTTTGGCCGGTCCTGACTGATTATTTGCAACCGGATTCTGTGGGACATTATTTGCGTTCGCCGAAGTAACGACAAAAACAATGGCGACGGCGACCGAAATAACGGGATTAAACCGAATATCCATCGTGTACCAAACTAAAGTATTTATTATTACACACGACAATTAATAGTCTGTTAACGGACGAGACTATTATATTCAATATAAATATTAAATGGAAAACTTTAATGTGTCTGTAAATTATCGTTACTATCCACGATGAACGTGCACGCTACAGGTGCACATTACATACTGGCTTTCAAATATGACTAGTGAAACCTACCAGCTTTGGTATGCGGTCCACTGATTTTAACCTTGCCTTAAAATTGATTTCGCCCCACTGTTAAACGTGTATTCTCACAAGGAAATATCTGACGATTTCGCAGTCTGTTAAAAAAAAATCACACATCATTGATACAATATATCTACATTTGAAAATATCTTCGACAAAATAACATACGATTTACAATTCTTCATAACATTATGAATGTATGAAATTTTATATTTTTATCATACAAATTTGCAATGTAAATAGTAAATACTTATTATAGTATGTCGATACTTCAGTTCAAAAATTGTCCRAGTTTAATACATAGATACTATAGATTAATTATTACAACATATATTTTATAATTTTTTAAAACCATTTTCAAATAACTATCAATTTTCTAAGTACATTATACATTCTAAATACTCAAAAAACGATTGAATTAAGTRAATCAAAATATTCAGAAGAACTATACGCTTAATAATAAACATAAAAAATAAGAGGAGTTCTCATTTACAAAATKTTGTACCCCTTCATTACAATCCYAAAGTAATACAAAAATCTTAAGAATTAAAAAATATGGTCATTGAATGTATTAAAAAATTCTAAAAATCATATTTTAAATAGCTGAATATAAAGTTAAAAAAAGTGGCGCATATGCAGCTTAGTTAATCACGCTGCCTATTATTTTAAACTCAAAATTTATCAGTGATGTAACTACGCGTCAATAATATTTGCCTAACGAAAATAGTTAACAATCTCTGCAAGAAATTAAAACGTATCCCTTCGGACATTGAACTTTACCAGTTTGACGTTTTGTCTTATATATATAAGGAYTTATCCATCAAACAAAAATTTATTTTCGAAGATTTGGTTTTTGATTACCATGTCTACGTTGGAGATTATCACCGCCTGTGGCGCGATCGTTCCCTCAATAGACATCGTCCTTGTTACCGTTTCCTTGATAGGCGTTGTCGCAATGGTGTTGTTGACCGTTCTCTTGGTAGACGTTGTTAAGGTGGTGTTTGTGGGCGTAAGTGTTATACCGTAGTGGTATTTGTCATAGACGTCACAAAAGTTATCGTTGAGATGGTGACAGTCGTGGAATTTTGTTGGGTCTCAATATGAGATACGGGAATATTTGGCGATTAATCGAATTTGTACAAACTGTAAAATAATCGATGAGAAAAATAATTATGATCGTAATAATCGATTAATCGAAATAATCGAACAGCTCTAGCTTTATTATTATTAAGAATAAATTGTTGTTGTTAATATTCTAATAATCTATATATATATATATATAGTGAAACCTCTAAATACCGAATACTCTCGGTCGCCGTAATTTTGTCTGTTATTTAGAGATGTCCGCTATTCAGGGAAGGGGGGGAGTAAATTCTCGGAAATAACTCAGATAAATTAATAATTACATATTTACAACATATTTTATTATTTATATAATATTTATGATTAATGATATTTCTATATTTCTATTATTTTAATGCCAATATTAATTGTAAATATTATTATGAAAAATTWTATGAAAAATTCAGTTACTTTAACTTGTTTAGACCTTGATGCATAGTAATTTCGTGTATCAAGGCATTTTCTAATTTAACTACGTTGGAGGCAATACGTTCRTATATAATGGAATCACCAAAACAACTAAATACGAGTAAGAAATAGTAATGTAAAATACTTCACAGCACATAAACTAGAAAAAAGTTTAAGCGACGCGATGATGGACAAATTAGATTAAGTTAAAACCATAATATATAGATAGATATTTGTAAAGCCATTCCATGATTATTCTATATTTTAGAATTATCAAAATCAAAATGAAATCACCATAAAAGCGTCTGTTATTTAGAGTGTCCGGTATTTAGGGATTTTCCTGTATAATAATAGTGAAAATGTCCCC